CAGGGTGCTGGGAGCCGTTCTCCTCCCCTCCTTCATGACCTGGGGAGATCTGCAGGGTGCTGGGTGTCAGGATAGGGTGCTTTCCCGCAGCTCTGCTTCCCATCAAGTGGCTGCCCCAAAAGGGCCTGAATAGCAGCTGTGAAAAATTGATGGTGCGAATTGGGAATATTTTTTTTTCGCCCACTGCTTCCCAGTAAATCACTTCCAAATAAACACTTTCCACTATCTGGCTGGCTCTGCAGATGATGGTGTTGGAGCCATCAGATGAATTATTTGGGGATTTTTGGTTTTTCTTCTTGCTGACTAGCAGTGGATAAATGACACTGGGTGTTTCTTCTAACACCGCAGAGTCACCAGCTCCAGGGATGGTGATTGAACATTACGTGACATTTGGGTTTTCTTCGAGCCCCAGCTCCATGGGAGAAATTCAGCCTTCCAGCCTGTACTTTGTATTTGTAAAGGCAAATGAATAGGAGGCCTTCTGGAGGTGGATAAAAGCCAGAACGGGAGTGGCAAAGGCTCAAAAAATCTGATGGACAATAGAAAGTGGTTTAATATGTTGTATATTACAGGAGAAGAGGGGACTTGAGATATTTGAACCTTTGGGCTGGAGTTACCCCCTTTCTCCTGGGCAAGTGCAAATCAGTAGCGTGGTAAAGTACCCTTCAAAGTCACCTTTAGCCAAAAAACTCTACAGACTGATTGTGTTCTGGGCTCATCTCATCAAAACACAGCATTTTCCATCCTGAGTTTCTAGAAGATTAGTTACAATGACTGCTTGCTGACAGCACCATGCAAAGCATCCGGAGCATCCGCAGGAGAGCACCCTCCAGGAGTCGGTGCAAGCAGCCAGGGAAAGCTACGTTTGGGACAGGTATTTGCCAAAAGAATTTGGAAACCTTGGCAGTGGGCTGGATGGAGGCAATGGTCCAATATCGCTGGGGGTCCTGGGGCTGGTTGAAAGACCGATGGGGGGTGGCAGCAGCTGAGAGAGACATGTTCCTGCATCCCTGTGCAGCATTTCTGCCCCATCCTTTACTAAAACTCGGGCTATGCAGAGCAGCGTGATTTGCTGTGCGAGTCACGAGGTGACATTGAGTCCAGGGTGAGGATGATGAGTGGTACCAAACCCATGATCCAGGCGCAGGCGATGCAGAGGAAGACCGGTGAAGAGAGCTGGGTGCTGGGCACGGCTGTTGTGAGACACTCAGGCACCGGGCAGGGAGCTGGAAGGACATTTTGAGCCCTGGGGATGAATCAACTTTTCGGAGAATTTACCTGGGATTGATCCAAATTCTCCATCACATGGCTTCGAGTGTTCAGCTAACAACTCCCTCTGGCTAAAACAGATGTCAAGAGGGTGCTCGAGGACCCACCAGCCCTTTCAGAGAGACACAAAGTTCAAGGACCCTTCTGACCCTGGGGACAACCGGAGAATGATTTGGGGCACGTTGCCTCCTTTCTGGGCCAAGGCAAGAGTCACACTCGGTGGAGGTCACTCCTGGCAGCTGGAAACTTCAGAAGGACACAACCACATGACAGAAAAGAAGGATAAAAGATAAACGACAGCACAGGAATTAATGTCAACAGGAAACTAATGCCTGACACACCGAGTCAGGAGAGGCAGCAGAGTTATTTGTTGTGAAGAGCTGATTGCAGAGGAAGAGGCTGGGAAACAAACCTCCCAGCCTGAGGCTTCAAGAGCTTAATTGACCCCAGTTCCTAGAAAGAAGGTGAAGAGGGGACAGAGAAGAGCCCTGCAGCGGGTTTTGTCCTGTGGCACAAGCCTAGCAGGCTCCGGTGCACCGCGGCTGATGTTAGGCACATGCGGCAAAGAAATGAGATGTGATTTTGTAGCTGTAGGGCAGTGAAACCTTGGCTTGACTTATCAAGGGAGGAGGTAGCTCACTCTGGCTCCGTGTCTCTTATCTGAGCGTAGCTATCTCTTGCAAGCTACGATTTATTCCAGCTGCGGGGATGTATTTTGTAACCTTTGGGCACAGAGGACCAAGCTGGATGGTTATGACAGTCTCGAATCTTGGTCCCTGGCTTCATCCCGTGTGTCCTTGGCCATCAGGAGGAGACATCTGGCCACGTGGCCCTCCTAAGGTCGATGGCTCTCATTTTAGGTAACAATACCCATCTTGGCATCAGCACTCCTTGCCCAGAGCACCCAGCTGCATTGCCACATCAGGTTGCCTGAACTTCCCTTGGGGTAACGAGGACAAACATCCCAACCTGAAGACGTGAGGACTTGAGTCTACAGACCTACAAGTCCTTCCTGGCCCTCAAACTCTATGCAGATAAGCAGTGCTGCCTTGTGTGTTCAACCCTGGCCCCCACATACCCCTCCACCTCCAATACGTGCTGTCATCTCCGTCCTCCCCCACAGCCGGTGGGGAAATCCAAAGACACCACACCAGCTACAAACCTGCCCAGAAAAGGATGCCGAGGTTCCGTTACGGACGGAGCCAAAGATGAGACAAACTCCTGGGAATTCTTCTGACCTCATTCATCAGAAGCAAACATTACATCCAGCTGAGATGATGAGCCTGGAGGTAGGCTAGATGCGAGCAAAGCAGTGGGACTGCATCACCGGAGTTGTGTCCTAGGGGACATAAGCAAATATTATTTTACTGCTGGGCGTGAGGTATGGAGATGCTGAATAATCTTTGCAAGATCCCAAGAGGGAATTACTGCAATCTAGAAAGACTAAACCTCCACATCTCAAGTGCTTCTTCAAGACCTTAATCCCAAATATTATCCATCCTCTCATTACAAGGCTGCTGAACAACTCTATCGTATACCAGGTGATTGCACACTTGTACAATACATATCTGTGACAGCTTCATTACTCCGCATATACATTCAGAAAAATAAAAAAGCCAAGTCACATGGACATTTCCGAAATGACAAAATCAGGGAAGAACGAATGTGACCGGGAATAAACAAGGAAGCGGAGTTACCCAGCATGTTTCCTTTGCCAGGAGCACGACCTTCTCTCTGCTGGGAAATGGTCATTTGTGAAAAGTGAACCGTGGCTACATCCAAAAGACACTCAGAGGTGGAAGGGGATGGAGGCATATGGTGAAAACCATCCAGGTGCTTTGAACCTCTCTCACCTGCTGTTACGGGGGTGCTGGAGATGCGGGAGCAGGCAATAAGTGGTTTGTGCTGGTGTTCAGTTGCTGCCCAAGTTTATTTCCAGCAATTTATTTTTTCAAAGGGACTCAAGTAATGCTCCAAGTCCCCAGTCGCTTAAAGGATGGCTGGAAAGAGCTCAGAGTAAAACTCAGGGAGAAGTAAAGAGCTTGCAAACCCCGTGTGAAGAGGAGCGGTACCAGTGGCAGTGGGTTGTAAGGGAGCACACAGGCAGGGAGGTGTTCGAGACGCAAAAAGTGCCGGGGGAAAAACAAGCATCTGCATTTCTCCTTTTTTGGGTTTTCTTTTGAAACTTTGCCCTTGTTAAGGAAGAAGTTGCAGACGGGGAGTATCGAAACCGGGGTGAACCGGAGGGGTGATGGGGGCCGAGCGGGGGCTGCCCACCACCGGGTCAGAGCACATTGCACTCGGCCACACTGGAGCATTTGAGGAAATGGAGCTTTTGTTTAGATGGAAGTTTGGGGAATTTCTCTGCCTCTGTGTATGGAGACGAGCCGGGTGCTCACCCAAATACACAGGGCAGATTTCCGTGGCCAGTCACCCTGGAAAGAGCCAGTCTGACCGGCTTGCCCACAGCCCCGGAGCAGCCAGGCAGGAAAGCCAGCTGGTTTCAACAACTGCGCATAACAGTTTCAAAACCAAAAAAAAAAAAAAAAAGGTCACGAACAAGAAAAGGGGCAAAACGAGTCGAATAAACTCGCGACAGGAAAGGAGCCATTCAGCTTCATCGCTGATTTCCCAAAGATGCCCGTTGAGTCAGTTCATCGGAAAAGCATCCCGGTTTTCCCGGTGCGGGAGCAGAAGGAGCGGCCGGCCGGGAGCTGCGCTGCCGGCAGATCTGGTAGGTATCATCCCTGTCCCGATGGAAGCAGCCGTGCGTTTCGGCACCTTATTTGGCTATTGCTGCTTGCACGGAGTGAGGACTTCTTGCAAACAGTGGGAAGAGCCCCCGGGGATGCTTGGCTGCCTCTGACGCAAGAGCCTCGCCGGTGCATTTTTGACCTTGCTTTGCGTCTCGGCCGAGCATTGGAGATCACGCTGCCCGCCTCTCCGCACACCCACCGCCGAGCGGCGGGGCCGGGAGGAAAGGAGAGCCCCCGGGGACGGCGGCACCCAGCCCCGGCCGGGACGGAGAGGGCAGAGAGAGAGGCTTTCCCCATCCTCGGGGGGAAAAGAAACCCCACAAATGGTTTTAGGAGCAGGAGGAACCAGCAGCCCGTAGCTCACGGCGTGCGATCGGTTGTACTGAAAGGGTACGAGCTCCAGCGGAACCGTGTTAGATTGCATCAGCTGGGAACCTCATCCAAACTGTTCGGGTTGAGAGTAACCCTTTCTATTTATTGCCCTATTGTTTCACTCTGGAAGAACACCAAGATACAATCTGTGAAAGCTTTATTGTTACAGACCGGCTTTCCCCTGCCGTCCCAAGCTGTCACCCTGTAAATTATGCCCCAGCCTCCAAGTTTGGGGGGATGAAATGGGGGTTACATTGACGGGGATTAAGGCCCTGGGAGGATTTGGCGGGGGAGGTCATCTGCTGCCCATTCTCCCACTGTTCGGGGCCCCGTTGCCCAATTTCCCTCTGGCAGCATCAGCCACGTTAGCCCAAATCCTCTACGCTGTTTATGGGGAAAATCTGGCTTACCCTGCCCAGAGCGGTTAGAGAAACCTTTTCTTAACGCATATGGGAAAATACAGGAACAGCCCTTTATAAATATCTCCATTATAACAGCAAAAGTGCAAAGGTGGCAAGACTTTATCATCCCCATTAAGAGGTTTTTGTTGCCTTCACGGCGGCAAAGTTCCCGCTGCCGTTCCCAGCACAGGACGCGGGAACGATGCTGGTGCGGAAAGCTCCGGGCTGGCAGAACCGCCCCCGAGGTTGCCAGGGAGGGCACGGCTTTGTTGGGATGCGGCTTCCCATCGCCCGGCACGGTGCGGGACACATCCTGCCCACTGCCACCGGCCACCGCGCTGGACCTCAAACTGCAGCTCCTTCCGCGTGACGGTTTTTCAGGAAGCCCGGTTGCCTTGGCGGGATGTATGTATCATTGGGTGGAGAACTGCAGGAAGCGGATAATTCTTTTTTTTTTTTTTTTTTTTCTCCATTTGTGCCGGTTCAGACTCTTATTTAGAGACAGTTCCTATTTCCTAGATTCACAGATGATAAGGATGGAGGGAACCGGCACATCGCCCAGCCTCGGCGCGGGCACGGCGCGGGCCGCCGACTGTGATGCGAAGGTAAGGGCTTTGCCTAGCAAGAAATATTTCGCTGATGAATGAGGGGCTTTTAAATGGCCAGTGTTAAAAATAAAAAAAATAAAAAAAAACAAGCCCGAAAACCCGAAAGGCAGCAGAGCGGGCAAGGCTGCGGCGGAAAGGCGCTCAGAGCATCCACGCGTGTTTGGGACACGGAGCTCCCACCGGCCCTAGAGGACGCTCTGCGGGCCGCCCCACGGGTTCCGCACAGAGCACCGGGGG